TTCAAGTGTTTTTCTTTATTTTTACATTGTAGAATAATAGTGAAGACATCAAAACTATGAAATAACACATATGGAATCATGTAGTAACCAAAAAAGTGTTAAACAAATCAAAATATATTTTATATTTGACATTCTTCAAATAGCCACCCTTTCCCTTGATGACAGTTTTGCACACTCTTGGCATTCTCTCAACCAGCTTCATGAGGTAGTCACCTGGAATGCATTTCAATTAACAGGTGTGCCTTTCTTAAAAGTTAATTTGTGGAATGTATTTCCTTCTTAATGCTTTGAGCCAATCAGTTGTGTTGTGACAAGGTGGGGGTATACAGAAGATGGCCCTATTTGGTAAAAGACCAAGTCCATATTATGGCAAGAACAGCTCAAATAAGCAAAAATACAGTCCATCATTACTTGAAGACATTAAGGTCAGTCAGCAAGGAACATTTCAAGAACTTTGGAACATTTCAAGAACTTTGAAAGTTTCTTCAAGTGTAGTCGCAAAAACCAAGCGCTATGATGAAACTGGCTCTCATGAGGACCGCCACAGGAATGGAAGACCCAGAGTTACCTCTGCTGCAGAGGATAAGTTCATTAGAGTTACCAGCCTCAGATATTGCAGCCCAAATAAATGCTTCAGAGTTCAAGTCACTGACGCATCTCAACATCAACTGTTCAGAAGGGACTGTGTGAATCAGGACTTCATGGTCGGATTGCTGCAAAGAAACCACTACTAAAGGACACCAATAAGAAGAAGAGACCTGCTTGGGCCAAGAAACACAAGCAATGGACATTAGACCAGTGGAAATGTGTCCTTTTGGTCTGGCGTCCAAATTGGAGATTTTTGGTTCCAACCGCTGTGTCTTTGTGAGACGCGGTGTGGGTGAATGGATGATCTCCGCATGTGTAGTTCCCACCGTAAAGCATGGAGGTGGGGGTGCTTTGCTGGTGACACTGTCTGTGATTTATTTAGAATTAACCAGCATGGCTACCACAGCATTCTGCAGCGATACGCCATCCCATCTGGTTTGGGCTTAGTGGGACTATCATTTGTTTTTCAACAGGACCGAACCCACCTCCAGGCTGTGTAAGGGCTATTTTACCAAGAAAAAGATTGACCTGGCCTCCACAATCCCCCGACCTCAACCAAATTGAGATGGTTTGGGATGACAGAGTGAAGGAAAAGCAGGCAACAAGTGCTCAGCATATGTGGGAACTCCTTCAAGACTGTTGGAAAAGCATTCCAGGTGAAGCTGGTTGAGCGAATGGCAAGAGTGTGCAAAGCTGTCATAAAGGCAACCTAACCAGAACCTGTTCCCGACCCTCCTCCACCTGCTGCCCGCTGCTGCTGGCCTTAGCAGATTCTGCCTTTAAGCTCCTGAAGTTGCCGGTAATAAGCTACACCAGCGGTCGGCAACCTTTTCCATTTGGCATGCCAAGTTATTGTAACATTTCTAGTGATCTGTGTGCCAGTTATGATTTTCATATGCACATCTCATTTAAGGTCTTCACATCTCAATCAATGTCATGTGGTTAATCAAAACTCTTATCTAAATGAAAAATGATACAAATCTAAAAGTAACTTCTATTGCCATTGCCAATATGTAAAAATAGCCTACATAAAGCCAACAAATAAAAACATTGCAGCCTGCAGGTAGAAAATATTGTGTAGCCTAGGTTGTGCGCTCTGCAAACAACGTGTCCACTCCTACAATGACAACGGTAAGACTGTAATAATAATATATTGAATGCATTAAAATAAATTACCATAACCAAACAAACTTAGTTTAGAAATTAGGGTAATTAACGGTAAATGTACTACTGGGTGATACTGGTCTGCCATCCTCGCGGACTCTGCAATGGATTACTCCACTCAGACAGGCGTGTCTTCGTGAATCAGACAGGTGTCTCGTGTGCCATAATGTTTTGCCACTGCTCAACAAAATAAATCGATTAAATGGAGTCAGACCTAAAGCACATTTTACATTTATATTTTAATAATTTAGCAGACGCTCTTATCCAGACCGACTTACAGGAGCAATTAGGGTTAAGTGCCTTGCCCAAGGGCACATTTCGGTTACTGGCCCAACGCTCTTAAGTGCCAGGCTACCTGCCACCCTCTGATTACGAAATGTCTTCTATTGCAGGTCTTGAGCAATGCACGCCTTTTCCTGGAGAATCTTATAAAGTAAGTATCTGCAGCTAAAGGCACCCCAAATAACTATTAGACTAAGGCTATGTTAAACTTCTATATCATCATTCGTTGATCACTGAGATCCTAATTGTATCTCCCATCACGACTGCAGATCCATTCATTTTGACCACAGCTTCTGTAGTAAGCCCCTCATTTCTACCAGCATGTTAAATGTGCAACCTGAGGGGAAAAAATTCTAGACCACCTTTACTCCACACAGAAAGACGCGTACAAAGCTCTCCCTCGCCCTCCATTTGGCAAATCTGACCATAATTCTATCCTCCTAATTCCTGCTTACAAGCAAAAACTAAAGCAGGAAGCACCAGTGACTCGGTCAATAAAAAAGTGGTCAGATGAAGCAGATGCTAAGCTACAGGACTGTTTTGCTAGCACAGACTGGAATATGTTCCAGGATTCATCCAATGGCATTGAGGAGTACACCACATCAGTCACTGGCTTAATCAATAAGTGCATCGATGACATCGTCCCCACAGTGATTGTACGTACATACCCCAACCAGAAGCCATGGATTACAGGCAACATCCGCACTGAGCTAAAGGGTAGAGCTGCCGCTTTCAAGGAGCGGGACTCTAACCCGGAAGCTTATAAGAAATCCCGCTATGCCCTCTGACAAACCATCAAACAGGCAAAGCGTCATTACAGGACTAAGATCGAATCGTACTACACCGGCTCCGCTCGTCGGATGTGGCAGGGCTTGAAAACTATTACAGACTACAAAGGGAAGCATAGCCGCGAGCTGCCCAGTGACACAAGCCTACCAGACGAGCTAAATCACTTCTATGCTCGCTTCGAGGCAAATAACACTGAAACATGCATGAGAGCATCAGCTGTTCCGGACGACTGTGTGATCACGCTCTCCGTAGCCGATGTGAGTAAGACCTTTTAAACAGGTCAACATTCACAAGGCCGCAGGGCCAGACGGATTACCAGGACGTGTACTCAGAGCATGTGCTGACCAACTGGCAAGTGTCTTCACTGACGTTTTCAACCTCTCCCTGTCTGAGTCTGTAATACCAACATGTTTCAAGCAGACCAGCATAGTCCCTGTGCCCAAGAACACTAAGGTAACCTGCCTAAATGACTACCGACCCGTAGCACTCACGTCTGTAGTCATGAAGTGCTTTGAAAGGCTGGTCATGGCTCACATCAACACCATTATCCTAGAAACCCTAGACCCACTTCCAATTTGCATACCGCCTCAACAGATCCGCAGATGATGCAATCTCTATTGCGCTCCACACTGCCCTTTCACACCTGGACAAAAGGAACACCTATGTGAGAATGCTATTCATTGACTACAGCTCAGTGTTCAACACCATAGTGCCCTCAAAGCTCATCACTAAGCTAAGGACCCTGGGACTAAACACCTCCCTCTGCAACTGGATCCTGGACTTCCTGACGGGCCACCCCCAGGTGGTAAGGGTAGGTAACAACACATCTGCCATGCTGATCCTCAACACGGGGGCCCCTCAGGGTGCGTGCTCAGTCCCCTCCTGTACTCCCTGTTCACTCATGACTGCATGGCCAGGCACGACTCCAACACCATCATTAAGTTTGCCGATGACAACAGTGGTAGGCCTGATCACCGACAACTACGAGACAGCCTATAGGGAGGAGGTCAGAGACCTGGCCGTGTGGTCCCAGGACAACAACCTCTCCCTCAACGTGATCAAGACAAAGGAGATGATTGTGGACTACAGGAAAAAGAGGACCGAGCACGCCCCCATTCTCATCGACGGGGCTGTAGTGGAGCAGGTTGAGAGCGTCAATTCATTGGTGTCCACATCACCAACAAACTAACATGGTCCAAGCATACCAAGACAGTCATGAAGAGGGCACGACAAAACCTATTCCCCCTAAGGTGATTGAAAAGATTTGGCATGGGTCCTGAGATCCTCAAAAGGTTCTACAGCTGCACCATCGAGAGCATCCTGACTGGTTGCATCACTGCCTGGTATGGCAACTGCTTGGCCTCCGACCGCAAGACACTACAGAGGGTAGTGCGTACGGCCCAGTACATCACTGGGGCCAAGCTTCCTGCCATCCAGGACCTCTACCAGGCGGTGTCAGAGGAAGGCCCTAAAAATTGTCAAAGACTCCAGCCACCCTAGTCATAGACTGTTCTCTCTGCTACCGCACGGCAAGCGGGACCGGAGCGCCAAGTCTAGGTCCAAGAGGCTTTTAAACAGCTTCTACCCCCAAGCTATAAGACTCTTGAACATCTAATGTTTTTTAAAAGTCATTTTAGCTGACGCTCTTATCCAGAGCTTAGTTAGTGAGTGCATACATTTTTCATACTGGCCCCCCGTGGGAAACGAACCCACAACTCTGCCGTTGCAAGCGCCATGCTCTACCAAATGGCTACCCAGACTATTTGCATTGTCTGGGTAGTCTCTGTTTATTATCTATGCATAGTCACTTTAATAACTCTACCTACATGTACATATTACCTCAATTACCTCGACTAACCGGTGCCCCCGCACATTGACTCGGTACCGGTACCCCCCTGTATATAGCCTCGCTATTGTTATTTTTACAGCTGCTCTGTAATTATTTGTTACTTTTATTTCGTATTAGTTTATATTGTATATTTTTTAATTTTTTGGGGGGGTATTCTTTCTTAACTGCATGAGGGCTTGTAAGTAAGCATTTCACTGTAATGTCTACACCTGTTGTATTCGGCGCATGTGACAAATCAAATTTTGATTTGATAACTATCTCCTTGTGAACAAAAATAGTATCCATCCATGTGACTTTTTTTTTGTCTCTTTCCCTCCTCTCTGATAGATATGGGATACTGGTGGACCCTATCCAAGTGGTTTCACTGTTCTTAAAAGACCCATATAGCTGGCCTGCACCATGCCTTGTCATTGGTATATAGCCTAAACCAGTTTCCTCTTTGGCATGCTAACCATATTATTGTGGTTGTTTGTACATCTTCCAAAATCTATTTATTTGAAAAGTTCATTATCTGGCTTTTGTTGCTTAGCAACCTGAGTCTATACCTGTTTAAAATACCAGCAACTGTTTTTCCACCAAGTGTGGGCAAATGTTCTCATTTTGGAACAATATTGTTGCAATATTATACGGCTGTCTAATGTGTTTTTATTGTATCTCTCCTGTAGTCTCGAACGTGTTCATAATGGCAGCTTTGTACACGGAGCGGAGGCTATCAGTGGTGAGTGTCGTGCCATAATGTCTGGGACTAATGTGAACGATGCACTGTGAAATCTTACTAATCTCTCTGTTGCTCGTGAACACAAGCATTTCAGACATCCGTTAGATGGAAATGGAGGGGGACATCTGTTATGTTGGTTCTGCATTTCCCCCTAACCAAAACCAATGTGGCTCCTCTAGCTAGTTGACAACAAGGGCTGTTCTTTGTGTCTTTGGAAGGTCACTTGTTTTTTTGTTTTTTTAATATAAGGATGATATTGTATTTCCCCCCCTAATATGTATTAGATAGGTGAAAGACTGACAGGAGGTGGGAGGAGAGGGAAGAGGATGTACTAGAAAGAGTGGGCCGGATTCAAACCCACACTCTCACTGCTACCCACACTCTCACTGCTACCCACACTCTCACTGGTACCCACACTCTCACTGCTACCCACACTCTCACTGCTACCCACACTCTCACTGCTACCCACACTCTCACTGGTACCCACACTCTCACTGGTACCCACACTCTCACTGCTACCCACACTCTCACTGCTACCCACACTCTCACTGCTACCCACACTCTCACTGCTACCCACACTCTCACTGCTACCCACACTCTCACTGGTACCCACACTCTCACTGGTACCCACACTCTCACTGGTACCCACACTCTCACTGGTACCCACACTCTCACTGCTACCCACACTCTCACTGCTACCCACACTCTCACTGCTACCCACACTCTCACTGGTACCCACACTCTCACTGCTACCCACACTCTCACTGCTACCCACACTCTCACTGCTACCCACACTCTCACTGGACCCACACTCTCACTGGAACCCACACTCTCACATGTACCCACACTCTCACTGCTCTACCCACACTCTCACTGGTACCCACACTCTCACTGGTACCCACACTCTCACTGGTACCCACACTCTCACTGACCCACACTCTCACTGGTACCCACACTCTCACTGCTACCCACACTCTCACTGTACCCACACTCTCACTGGTACCCACACTCTCACTGGTACCCACACTCTCACTGTACCCACACTCTCACTGTACCCACACTCTCACTGTACCCACACTCTCACTGCTACCCACACTCTCACTGCTACCCACACTCTCACTGCTACCCACACTCTCACTGCTACCCACACTCTCACTGCTACCCACACTCTCACTGGTCCATGTATTCTGGAGGCAGCAGCTTAGATCACTATACAACCCCAGGCCCACAGAGATCCCCATAGAGTTGTAATTGTAATCCTGTGCTCAGGCCACTGTGTTAACAATGGTTTTAATTCCTGTTGCTCTGCAGGGCATCATCTCAGAGACTACTGGAGCGTTCCTTTACTTGGTCAATCTGACTACCCTCCTCTGTTTCCCATCAGCCACTGTGCTCACGCTGACCTCCATGACCCCAGGTGAGATGGCCTGATCATGATACGCCTGCTTACACTTCATGGTCATATTCATAGCTCTAATGTGTCTCATCTTTGAGCAACGGTAGGCTACTTGTATTCCTTGATCAAAAATACTAAATGCTTTTCTCAGAGAGGATCTATCTAAAAGAGACCCATATATAATATATAGTGTTATAGTGTGTGTAAAGCTTGATAATATCTATTTTTTTCTTGTCCAGCTGGGGGAGTCTTTGCCCTGGGTGTGTACACCATCCTCTTCATGAAGCTGTACTCGTATAAGGACGTTAACATGTGGTGCAGAGAGATTAGACATACCAAAGCCCGCACCCTGACCCGCTCCCATTCATGTGAGTACTACTGATCAGTAGTACCACTGTCTAACTTTATATGTTAGTCATTTAGCAGACACTCTTATCCAGAGAGACTTACAATTAGTGCATTCATCTTAAGATAGCTAGGTGAGACAACCACATATCACATCATATCAAGTACATTTTCCTCAACAAAGTATTTATCAGTAAAGTCAGTGCTAGTAGGAAAAGACTAGGTTCTTTTTGGGGGAGGGAGTGGGTGGCTTTGGGTGCACCGTGGGAGTTATTTAAGATACTCTTCAAAGAGGTAGGGTTTTGGACATTTTTGGAAGATGGGCAGGGACTCCGCTGTCCTGACTTTAGGGGCAGTTCCTCTCGCTGCTCCGTAGGCAAGCACCAGGGTCTTGAAGATAATGCAAGCTACAACTGGAAGCCAGGGGAGTGTGCGGAGGAGCGGGGTGACATGGGAGAAAGTAGGAAGGTTGAACACCAGGCAGGCTGTGGCATTCAGGATAAGTTGCAGGGGTTTGATGGCACAAGCGGGGAGCCCAACCAACAGAGTTGCAGTAGTTTAGACGGGAGATGACAAGTGCCTGGATTTGGACCTGCGCCACTTCCTGTGTGAGGAAGAGTTGTACTCTACGGATATTGTAGAGCATGAACCTGCAGGAGCGAGTCACTGCTTTGATGTTTTGCAGAGAACGACAGGGTGTTGTCCAGGGTCAAGCCAAGGTTCTTTGCACTCTGGTAGGGGGACAACGTGGAGTTGTCAACCATGATGGAGAGGTCTTGGAGCAGGCAGGCCTTCCCCGGGAGGAAGAGCAGCTCAGTTTCGTCGAGGTTGAGCTTGAGGTGGTGAGCCGACATCCAAGCTGAGATATCTGTCAGGCACGCAGAGATGCGTGTCGCCACCTGGGCGTCAGAAAGGGGAAAGGGGAAGAGTAGTTAAGTGTCATCCTCATAGCAATGATAGGAGAGACCATGTGAGGATATGACCGAGCCAAGGGACTTGGTGTAAGGAGAAAAGAGGAGAGGGCCTAGAACCGAGACATGGGGGACACCAGTAGTGAGAGCATGTGGTGCAGACACAGACCCTCTCCACGCCATCTGGTAGAGCGACCTGCCAGGTAGGGTGCAATCCAGGAGTGCGCATAGCCTGAGAGGGTGGAAAGGAGGATCTGATGGTTCAAGGTGTCGAAGGCAGCAGTGGGATCTAGGAGGATGAGAACAGAGGAGAGGGAGTCAGCTTTGGCAGAGTGGAGAGCCTCTGTGACACAGAGAAGAGCGGTCTCAGTTGAGCGGTCTCAAGATCGTTCTGAGAGAGATGACGAGAAAGTTGGTCAGAGACAGCACGCTCAAGTGTTTTGGAAAGAAAAGAAAGTAGGGATACCGGTCTGTCGTTTTTGACGTGAGCAGGGTCAAGTGTTGGTTTCTTGAGGAGGGGAGCGACTCTGGCCATATTGAAGTCAGAGGGGATGCAGCCAGTGGTCAGGGATGAGTTGATAAGGGAAGTGAGCAATGGGAGAAGGTCTCCAGAGAGGGAGGAGGGAATGGGGTCAAATGGGCAAGTTGTTGGGCAGCCGGACATAACTAGTCGCAGGGTTTCATCTGGAGAGAGAGGGGAGAAAGATGTTGAGGCATGGGGGAATTCTCTGTGAATGGGATCAGTGGGCTCAGTAGGCTGAGTGAATGAGTAGTGGATGTCGTCAGCAGAGTGGGAGGGGGAAGAGGTGGAGGATTACGGAGGATGGAGAAGCGTTTCCCAGGGTTGGAGGCAGAATATTTCAATTTAGAGTGACAGTGGCTTTAGCAACGGATACAGAGGAAGAGAAGGTAGAGAGGAGGGAGTGGAAGGATGATAGTTTTTCTCCATTTCCGCTCAGCTGCCCACAGCCCTATTCTGTTAGCACGCAGTGAAGCACTCAGCAACGGAGCGGGAGGGGAAGGTCGAGCCGGCCCGGGAGGAAAGGGGACAGTGAGAGTCATAGGATGCGGAAAGGGAGGAGAGTAGGGTCGAAGAGGCAGAGTCGGGAAACAGGAAGGACAATAATTTAGCAGAAGGGAGAGGATAGGATAGAAGAGGAGAGAGTAGTGGGAGAGAGAGAGTGAAGATTGCAGCGACACATGACCATCTGGGTAGGGTTGGAGGAGAGAAAAGGAAACAAAGTAGTTATCAGAGACATTAAGATGAGGTCAAGCGTATTTCCTGCCTTGTGAGTGGGAGGTGACTGGGAAAGAGTGAGGTCAAAAGAGGAAAGATTAGTGGTGAGCCATCGTCAACAAATGAGCTGGTCAAGGTCATTGAGGGCACCTGGTGGGCGATAGATGACAACAATGTTAAGCTTGAGAGGAGAAGTGACAGTGACTGCATGGAATTCAAATGAGATAGACAGGTGAGAGAGGGAGAAAAGAGAAAATCTCTATTTAAGATAAATGAATAGCCCTGTGCTACCACCGCGACGACCAGATGCTCTCGGACTATGAGAGAACACGTAGTCAGATGACGAGAGAGCAGCTGGAGTAGCAGTGTTCTCTGGGGAAATCCATATCTCCGTTAGGGCCAAAACGTGAAGGCAATATAGGCTGAGATTAACTCAGCATACAGGTTTACCTTCATACTTACCTACCTTACTTGCTGTGTGTGTGCATTTGCTTGTGTATTTGTGCGTGCGTGTGCGTGCGTAAATAGGACATTCATTCATTTAAGTAAAAGCACAAATAGTTCAAACATTTTTGAGGTGCTTCAAATTCTATGGCTGCCATCTTTCTACAGTACCCCCGCCAGAGGATAATGCTGTACCTGGTTGACATTGGTATTTGTGATCTTTACTCCAGTGCTGCTAGTGTAATAATGTGAACTGGATAGCATCGGCAAATTAGCATGTTGACACACACTCACACTCACTCTCTCTCTCTCACACACACACACACACACACACACAGCTCTGGGTCTTCTCTCAATTTGCGCCCTCTCGATAACACGGATGCTGCCCGAGATCTGATTGGCTATCCCAGGATTCGTATAATTACGCTGACCTCTCCAAGACGTGAGGGGAAATAGACAGGTATTTAATGAGCTGTATGACTCATCGCTGTATGAGTAACTTATGTGACCTGTTTCTTTGGCTGGGTTGTTGTTTATTGCGAAAAGCTTTCAGCGTTTGTTTAAATATGTATATTTTGCCCCCTGAATAAATACGAACACACACACAGATGATTAGATGCACCTTCATGTATGCAGCAATGTCACGCTTTCTGAAACGTTACTGTGCTGCCATCGCCATCTATTGGTTGTATAGAAGTACTGCTGTAAGAAATAATCTGTATTTTTCATCCACACGTTCTATGCCCCCATAGGTCCATCTGTGGCCCGGTCCAATGGGTCAGTTGTACATGCTCATGTGTCCTACCCTGGAAATCTCACACACAGAGGTCAGAACAGAAAGAGATACAGAACATAATGACTAGTAGCTAGTTGCAATGTACAGTTGGAAAAAAGTTCAAATCTAATAAACGTATCTTTACGTACACAATTCTTATTTCAAAAGACAATGTGTATGATGAATGAATGACTTTAATGTGTGCGTGTGTTTCACTGTCCTCCTTCCACAGATATCTACTACTTTGTGTTCGCCCCAACACTCTGCTATGAGCTGAACTTCCCCCGGTCACCACGGATACGCAAGAGCTTCCTGCTGAGGAGACTCTTTGAGATGGTGAGGTCAAAGATCATATCAGGAAAACAGAGAGACCTGGGAATATGCTATTTACATGCACCCTACTATCATGAAAACATATATTTTAAAGCACCAATTAGCAGTTAAAGTGTTCTCACCACCACTGTTTCAGTACAAATCTGAGGGATGTGGCTGGAGAAATGTAAATCACTCTCAAATTCATAGTTGGAGCTATGGATGCAAGGACTGACCATCCATTATATTTTTTAACCATGTTTTGAGGCTATACAGTGTATGTTTGCATTTACTTTGTTTACAAACATTGGACTAAAACTAACTAATCTCATGAGGCATTTATTAAGTTATATTCTTCAAGAATTAATGGGTACATATCATACATTCCAAAAATGGATGTAGCAACTGCTGATTGCCCCTTTAATACATTTTAAAGATGTTGTGTCAAATCTAAAAACATGATCTGAAATATTTTCCAGCTTTTCTTCATACAGTTACTGATTGGATTGGTACAACAGGTACGTTCATTATGTGTTGTCCATACTGACATTACCTTGGTTAATATTTGGTGTATTTTCACTCATCAAACCAGATTATTTAATTAATGGGTGGCTTTATTATCCCAAATAACAAGATACACTTTTATGTTAACCATGTCTCACAGATGCACTAATGTGGATGTTCTTTTTTCAGTGGATAGTGCCGACCATTCAGAATTCCATGAAACCATTCCAGGTGAAAATTAACATCCTTTGTCTGTTGGACTTTTGTCTATTCAACTGCTCCATTTCTTTGTGCTTAGGGGTGACTTTGTTTCATGTACCCCCTATGGCAGGATATGGACTTTTCCAGAATGATGGAGCGCATGTTGAAACTGGCTGTGAGTACAAATACAGACCACATAACCTAAACCCATGTCTCCATTACGGCTGTCCCCGACTAAAAAAAATATTTGTCGACAGAAAGTTGTCTGACCAATTGATTGATTTTCCATATATTTTCTATGTGTTTGAATAAAATCAACTACACTGAACAAAAATATAAACACAAAATGTAAAGTGTTGGTCCCATGTTTCATGAGCTAAAATAAAAAATCAGATATTTTCCATATGCACAAAAAACTTATTTTTCTCAAATTTGGTGCACAGTTTTTTTTTTTTTACATCCTTGTTAGTGAGCATTTCTCCTTTGCCAAGATAATCTATCCACCTGACAGGTGTGGCATATCAAGAAGCTGATTTAAACAGCATGATCATTACACAGGTGCACCTTGTGCTGGGGACAATAAAAGGCCACTTTTAAAATGTGCAGTTTTGTCACCCAATGCCACAGATGTCTCAAGTTTTGAGGGAGTGTGCAATTGGCATGCTGACTGCAGGAATGTCCACCAGAGCTGTTGTCAGAGAATTGCTGAGGAGTATTTCTGTCTGTAATACAGACCTTTTGTGGGGAAAAACTCATTTTTATTGGCTGGGCCTGGCTGCCCCTGCCCAGTCATGTGAAATCGATAGATTAGGGCAGGGTTCTTCAATTCCGGTCCTGGAGGGCCGAAACACTTCTGTTTTTTTATTTCTACCTGGTAGTTAATTGCACTCACCTGGTGTCCCAGGTCTGAATTAGCCCCTGATTAGAAGGAGAGGATGAAAAACAGGTGTTTCGGCCCTCCAGGACTGGAATTGAAGGACCCTGGATTAGGGCCTAATTTATTTATTTCAATTGACTGATTTCCTTATATGAACTGTAACTCAGTAAAATCGTTGATATTGTTGCATGTTGTGTTTTTATATTTTTGTTCAGTATATATGTATTGAGTTTGTCTGATGCTTTAAGCACACGGTTTGATGAAATAAGACACAAATGACTGAAGAGGGAGCCAGAGATCAAGACAACCAGAAGAAAAAATCTACCTGACCCGACCATCTTCCTCTCGCTCCTGCTGGCTTTCGCAGATTCTGCCGTTACTCTCCTGAAGTTGCTGGTAATGGGCTACACAAGGAGTCGGCAACCTTTCTCATGTGGAATGCCAATTTATCATACAATTTCTACTGATCTGCGTGCCAGTTATGGTTCATATGCACATTTTCGTGAAACAGTTTAATAAAATGTATAACAATGTCTTCGTATCTCAATCATTGTCATGGGGTTAATAAAAATTATATTGCTGGAACACTGTCACTGTACATGTCGATCCAGAGTATCCCAAACATGCTCAATGGGAGACATGTCTGGTGAGTATGCAGGCCATGGAAGAACTGGGACATTTTCAGCTTCCAGGAATTGTGTACAGATCCTTGCGACATGGAGCTGTGCATTATCATGCTGAAACATGAGGTGATGGCGGCGGATGAATGGCACAATAAATGGGCCTCAGGATCTCGTCATGGTTTCTCTGTGCATTCAAATTGCCATTGATAAAATACAATTGTGGTCGTTGTCCGTAGCTTATGCCTGCCCATAACATGCCACCATGGGGCCCTCTGTTCACAATGTTGACATCTGCAAACAAAACAACGTTGGAGGCGGCTTATGGTAGAGAAATTAACATTCAATTCTCTGGCAACAGCACTGGTGGACATTCCTGCACGCTCCCTCAAAACTGCACATTTTAGAGCGTCCCCAGCACAAGGTCCACCTGTGTAATGATCATGCTGTTTAATCAGCTTCTTGATATTCCACACCTGTCAGGTGGATGGATTAACTTGGCAAATGAGAAATGCTCACAAACAGGGATGTAAACAAATGTGTGCACAGAATGTAAAATAAATAAGCTTTTTGTCCTTATGGAACATTTTGGGGATATTTTATTTCAGCTCATGAAACATGGTACTTTTACATGTTGCATTTATATTTTTCAGTGTAGATTACAAATTATAGAAATTAATGGTAAATGTACTACTGGTGATATAGCCTATGTAATGGGGGAATTGATAGACACTGACAATCGAACACAAACAACTCACACAATTAAGTTATGAAACAACAAATTGGTGGGAGACAGTGCATTCTGGAGAGAGACGTGCATATTAGCCACGCTCCCCTTCTCCTTGGACTGTGCCATTCCTGCGGCCGCAATGGATTAGTCTCTGGCTCTGCAATGGATTAGTTCACTGAGATGGGCCCGAATCAGACAGGTGTCTCCTGTGCCATAAAACAAATGTCCTCTCACTGTCAACTGCGTTTATTTTCAGCAAACTTAACATGTGTAAATATTTGTATGACAAGATTCAACAACTGAGACAAACTGAACAAGTTCCACAGACATGTGACTAACAGAAATTGAATAATGTGTCCCTGAACAAAGGGGGGGTCAAAATCAAAAGTAACAGTCAGTGTCTGGTGTGGCCACCAGCTGCATTAAGTACTGCAGTGCATCTCCTCCTCATGGACTGCACCAGATTTGCCAGTTCTTGCTGTGAGATGTTACCCCACTCTTCCACCAAGGCACCTGCAAGTTCCCTGACATTTCTGGGGGGAATGGCCCTAGTCCTCACCCTCCGATCCAACAGGTCCCAGACGTGCTCAATGGGATTGAGATCCGGGCTCTTCGGTGGCCATGGCAGAACACTGACATTCCTGTCTTGCAGGAAATCACTCACAGAATGAGCAGTATGGCTGGTGGCATTGTCATGCTGGAGGGTCATGTCAGGATGAGCCTGCAGGAAGGGTACCACATGAGGGAGGAGGATGTCTTCCCTGTAACGCACAGCGTTGAGATTTCAAGCTCAGTCCAATGATGCTGTGACACACCGCCCCAGACCATGACGGACCCTCCACCTCCAAATCGATCCCGCTCCAGAGTACAGGCCTCGGTGTAACGCTCATTCCTTCAACGATAGGCAACGTTGTTGCCGGTGATGTCTGGTGAGGACCTGCCTTACAACAGGCCTACAAGCACTGATGGAGGGATTGTGCGTTCCTGGTGTAACTCGGGCAGTTGTTGTTGCCATCCTGTACTTGTCCTGCAGGTGTGATGTTCGGATGTACCGATCCTGTGCAGGTGTTGTTACACGTGGTCTGCCACTGCAAAGACGATCAGCTGTCCGTCCAGTCTCCCTGTAGCGCTGTCTTAGGCGTCTCACAGTACGTTCACGCAGATGAGCAGGGACCCTGGGCATCTTTCTTTTGGTGTTTTCCAGAGTCAGTAGAAAGGCGTCTTTAGTGTCCTAAGTTTTCATAACTGTGACCTTAATTGCCTACCATCTGTAAGCTGTTAGTGTCTTAACGACCGTTCCACAGGTGCATGTTCATTAATTGTTTATGGTTCATTGAACAAGCATGGGAAACAGTGTTTAAACCCTTTACAATGAAGATCTGTGAAGTTCTTTGGATTTTTACGAATTATCTTTGAAAGACAGGGTCCTGAAAAAGGGACGTTTCTTTTTTTGCTGAGTTCATATATAGTACCAGTCAAAAGTTTGGACACACCTACTCATTCAAGGGGTTTTCTTTATGTTTTACATTGTAGAATAATAGTGAAGATATCAAAACTATGAAATAACACATATGGAATCATGTAGTAACCCAGAAAGTGTTAAACAAATCAAAATATATGTTATATGAGATTCTTCAAATAGCCACCCTTTGCCTTGATGACAGCTTTTGCATTCTGCATTCTACACTCTTGGCATTCTCTCAACCACCTTCACCTGGAATGCTTTTCCAACAGTCTTGAAGGAGTTCACACATATGCTGAGCACTTGTTGCCTGCTTTTCCTTCACTCTGCGGTCCAACTCATCCCAAACCATCTCAATTGGGTTGAGGTCGGGGGATTGTGGAGGCCAGGTCATCTGATGCAGCAATCTATCATTCTACTTCTTGGTAAAATAGCCTTTACACAGCCTGGAGGTGTGTTGGGTCATTGTCATGTTGAAAAACAAATGATAGTCCCACTAAGCCCAAACCAGATGGGATGGCGTATCGCTGCAGAATGCTGTGGTAGCCATGCTGGTTAAGTGTGCCTTGAATTATAAATAAATCACAGACAGTGTCACCAGCAAAGCACCCCCACACCATAACACCTCCTCCATGTTTCACGGTGGGAACCACACATACGGAGATCATCCGTTCACCTACTCTGCGTCTCACAAAGACACAGCGGTTGGAACCAAAAATCTCAAATTTCGACTCATCCGACCAAAGGACAGATTTCCACCGGTCTAATGTCCATTGCTCGTGTTTCTTGGCCCAAGCAGGTCTCTTCTTCTTATTGGTGTCCTTTAGTAGTGGTTTCTTTGCAGCAATCCGACCATGAAGGCCTGATTGACCTAGTTCCCTCTGAACAGTTGATGTTCAGATGTCTGTGACTTGAAATCTGAAGCATTTATTTCGGCTGCAATTTCTGAGGCTTCACCATCTAGCAGTCCAACGGAGGAATCTGGGTTTGGCGGATTCCAAGAGAAAGCTACCTGCCCGAATGCATAGTGCCAACTGTAAAGTTTGGTGGAGGAGGAATAATGGTCTGGGGCAGTTTTTCATGGTTCGGGCTAGGCCCCTTAGTTCCAGTGAGGTCGAAGGAATTGCAAAAATGTCTCAACTGTTTTTGCTCTGTCAAGTGGTATTGTGGGGGTAAAAATGATAATTCTTGGTCGACCAACATCCTATCGACCAAACAATTGACCAGTCAACTAATTGGGGTCAGCCCTAGTCTCCATACAAACCTAACACTTCATCCATCTGTCATTTTTCACTTTTGTCATATTTTCCCAGTGAAAAGATATGTTGGTTGACTCTCACAAATCTCCATACATTACCATTTTCCCATACACACACAAAGCCAAGTCCAGTATTGAAAAGCATTCTCAATAGAGATTCTCCATTCAGTGTTTCTTAGACCAAGACTAGGCTTAATTCGTGTCCGGGAAACCGGACCTACATTATAACTAAAAAGATGTAAGCTTATATGTACATGATCCTTCATGTCCAGACTGTCTAATGGCACAAGGCTTCCACTCCTCTCCCCTCTACCCCAACAGGTTCCCAATCATTTAATCTGGCTCATCTTTTTCTATTGGTTTTTCCACTCTTCCATGAACTTCGTAGCTGAGCTGATGCGGTTCGGTGACAGGGAGTTTTACCGGGACTGGTGGTAAGTGGATGATGATTCCCAGTTAGCCTTGTATTTGTTTTTAGTTTGTGTTATTCGTGCAGTGATACCATGTGAATTGTGCCATCGGTTTGGGTTACATGTAGTGCTAGATGTAATGTTAAAATAGCTTAGTCAAAACTCTTCTCAATAAATGATTTTTTACTTCAACAGCTGCCCTGCACCCCCTTTCCCTCCATCTCATATACAGTAGTAACTAGATGTTGAACTGCAACCGTCTCTCTGAGCCAGTCACTTGTTGTTTTGTAGGACCTCTGAACCAGTCACTTGTTGTTTTGTAGGAACTCTGAGACGGTCACTTACTTCTGGGCTAACTGGAACATTCCTGTGCACAAATGGTGCCTCCGGTGAGTAGGAGTTGAAGAAATAACATTGTGATTGGAACAATACCACCACCTACAGCACTAACTTTATGGCAGTAGACGTGCGCATCGTGGTGTGTGTGTGTGTGTGCACTAAATGCCGTAACCTTCTGTGACATTATAATGGATGGTTTTAAGATGTACTGTAAAGTACGCTCTTGGTTACTGTCTACAGTTCCCAACTAATACATTATTTATTTTCATCATCCGTTGTTCTCCACAGCCACTTTTACAAACCCATCATGAGGAGAGGTGCGAATAAGTGGGTCGCCCAGACGGCAGTCTTCCTGGTCTCCGCCTTCTTTCACGAGGTTCGTGTGGGTGGCTGTGATTGTGATGCCATCTAACACACTGACTCAGTTTCACACTTGACTTACCTGATTGTACATGTCAGTGTTAAAGGCTGCATCATATAATCCTCCTCCCTCTCTTTCAGTACTTGGTGAGCGTTCCACTGAAAATGTTCCGACTGTGGGCGTTCATGGGCATGATGTCTCAGGTCAGACAACTTTTTTTTCTTTCAAAAACAAAAATGAATTTTCATCATCCAACAGTGGATTTGGACGACATGGTCCTCTGTTAATGGTTACACACACATTTTAAAGAACCTGGTTTTAGAGTTTAGTGTTAAAGGACGGTTTCCCCCTAAACTGACCTTTCAGATTCCACTCGCCTGGTTTGTTGGCCGCTTCCTGAGAGGTAACCATGGCAACGCTGCAGTCTGGATCTCGCTCATCATTGGCCAGCCCGTCGTCGTGCTGATGTACGTCCACGACTACTATGTAATACATTACATGTCCCCATCATGAACAGTTGGTTGCAAGCAGAGGAGCAACACATTATACTAGAGGACTAATTGAATGTAAAAGGTTTACTTTGAAAGAGAAATATATTATATGAAGCTTGACTGAATAGTAAGAATGTTACACCATGTAAATATTTTGGCCTCCAGGCACCATTTCTCTAATGCACTTCTACACCACAGAGAGACTTGGCTCCCGTCCTACCATTGCTGTGAAACACTGCCCTGACAACTAGAGAAAATGTGTACGCCTTTTCTCTGTTTCTTAGTCTACAACTATGAAGATCAATGCAGACATCCCTGTAGATAAATCTTACTATCGGTGTGCTGCTTTTTCTCATGCGTTTGACACGTCTTTCTTGCCTTTGATTATTTAATGATCTGAGTATGTTATTTGAAGTTGTGTGAACTCATGTGGCTGCAGTAATAGCCAGTCACATGTATTGTACATAAGTCAAGCCAAATCTGTTTTTACATGTGATTTGTGAAACTAATGTGTTTGCACTACAATGCATGCTGTTTGCTAATAAATGGACGAAAAAAACAATATTTTCTGAAAATATGTTTTAAAACGCTATAATCTTTGTAAATGTTATCATAAATAGGACTGGTGGAGTTGTCACACATGCAGCTAACAAAAATATGGAAATGTTACAACCAACTAAATTATAACCAACTAACTGCCGCATTACTGCAAAAATGGAAGAGGCAAGAAGAAAGTAAGGAACTTGTCTGTCGGCCCTGCATTAAAGACCAACATTGGCTAAAGAAAATTGTGATGAATAAAATGTTTACCAGTTTCATTTAAGGACCAAAAAATGTACAGCTGTGCCATATAGATTGCAAAATAGTTGGTAAGAGATTTTTGATGTGCTGATTCCATGGCACATAGTTTATGAACTGATACACAAAACGACGCCGGATTCAAAACTTAGTTTTTCAATTCAAATTATTATACAAAATTCTTGCAACCAATAGAATGTTATATATGGGGGATACAACCAACTATATCTGCAGATTTTGCTGCGAAGAGACAATCATTTGTTTTGGTACTGTCCATATGTAGCTTGTTTTTGGTCGCAGGTTCAGGAATGGCTGAAGAATTGCAACATTTACCTGGAGTTAACTCTGCAAATAGCACTGCTGGGTGATTTAAAAAGTCATAGTCAATCGATCAATAATATAATACTCTTAGCAAAATATGTTACCTTTAAATTACTATCTGTAGAAACGGAGAATAGAAAGGTTCAGAACTTTTATGAAACAGCACAGTTGAAAAATATGGCAAATAGAAATCAAAACTGGATGGTGTTCAGAGATAAATGGGAGGGGTTGAGTGTAGCTGAAGGGTGGGACTAAAAACAAAAGATAACTATTGTAAATTATACTGTGTCTGTAAAATGTATATAGTATGTATAAACTGGAAGTAGAAGCCTAAATATTGTTGTCCATTCGTTTACTCCAATTAGGGAAGGGGTGGTAGGGTTAGGGGAAAATATTTATATATTTGATGTATATTTACCCCAAAAAATATATGGGGGATTGGAAATGATGCAGACAATTACATTGATGGAAGCCACAATCTGCAGTATTAAAGCTGATCTACCCCCCCCCCCCCCCCCCCAAAAAAAACAACAACAACTAATAAACTAAATAGACGAGTGCTCTTTTAAGCTCTGTTGATGCTCTTTGAATATATAATCTAAAGTACAGTGTATTGTCAAATAAGTTGGATGTTGTATGCCAATTATTGCCATCCTATCATGAATAGATGCTGGTGATCCAAACAGTAATAACCATAGAAAAACAATATTGATTGTGTTGTACCAAACATACAGTGTGCGTTTCTCCCTTTATTCCATTCCAGACCTTTTGCACTTCAGTGAACCGTTGCTTTGCCACTGGTTTACTGGAGCTGTCGTCTAGTTCTGCCCCTTTAACCCTTCATGGTTTCAGGATGACACTATATACATGCCTTTTCTTCATGGTTTCAGGATGACACTATATACATGCCTTTTCTTCATGGTTTCAGGATGACACTATATACATGCCTTTTCTTCAGCCAATAGCCTACTCATTCATGCCCGTGTACCTGACATCTCTACTTGAGCCACATAAACCAAATCCAGCCTGTATTCTCACTTTAGTTTGATTTTACTCTGAAGTGCTTCGTTTTCTTTTTCCTTTCAGTTTCTATTGTCATGTATTGTAGGAAATAAATATTGGTTGAGTTCGCTATTATGCATCTTTCATTTCACTTTTTTTTTTTATTCAGGAAGGTTTTTCATTTACAATTTCAAGCATAGTGTATATTTGTTAGGCAGGTACGAGGTATTTTCAAAGCCTCCCCTTTGACAAAATGTGATATTTGATAAAGGTTTGTTTATACTGTAGTAACTCAACTTCAGATCCATTTTAAGCACCCAAATCTAGTGGGTGATAAGTTTCCAGAACCTTTAATACCAGTGTGAAGTCAGATAGGATTGCGTATGTAGGTGAGAGAGGGTAGATTGTTTTCTGTGCTGCTCCCATTCCTTGGGAGACTGTCCCAGAACAGGGCATGTTTTCTTTCTATTGTTCCCTGTGCTACAACAGTTTTTGTAACTTTAGATACAGTCCTCAGCTGCTGTCACTGCTCTGAGCTCTTCTCATTGGCAGCAACTGCACCAGTGAAATAAAATCCTGCCTGTGGAACTGTAACCTGGCTATTTGTTTTCTTATACGTATAGTAATAACCATGAGCTTATAATGTCCAGTGCTCTTGTCAATTACATTCATTTGTTGCACAATAATTGAGGGTTCCAATTGGAATTGCTGATTTTTATGCTAAACAATTTGCATGTATTGTGCATATAAAATGTTTATTGTGCAGAAAAACAAGACTTTAGGAAACAATCGCATGGTTCCAAAATATGAAAAAGAAAAACAAACATTACAACAAATTCATCAGACAATCCGCAGATAAAATTCACATCTGGTATGGGGGAGGAGAATCGATTCAGCTGCCCTACTGCTATAAAAATACAGAAGACAAACATGTCAATTAGCTCCAAGAACTGCAATCCATATTGTACTTTTCTATTTGGGGTGTAGCCAGTATAAGTCAATGTTCCCTGTCCGTGCACAGTGCAGAAGAAATACCAGCCCGCGAAGACGCACGAGATTGAACTTCACTGAACTTTACTAGTTTTCCCCATTAGTTTACACTATCAACGTTTCCCTCTACTGTGTTCGAGTCAACATAATATTAACCCCTTTCCATGCAACATACCGAAACAAAACGAACTATGCACGACTCAGTCAGATTTAGTTTTAGGCAGAGCGCATCGTCAGAGGATTCTATTGCATTGACAGGCACGAGCGGTCGCGAGTAGATGTGCTTGTTTTGAGATCAAAGCAAGATATTCTTTGCTAGTTATTGCGTTATTAGCCCAGTTATAGCTCATTTATGGTTAGCAATGGGGTTGTGATTGCTTCCTAAAAGGGCACAAAACGTGTACATTTCTAGCCATCTTTGAAAAACGAGTCAGGTAAAGAGCTTTTTTTATGTCTTAAAGGGGCAGTGCTGTATTTTTAGACAGGCATAAATAAGATAGGAAGCCAATAGCACCACACTGCTACTGTAGGCTGTATCATAACTATTATTCACTATTTCAATAGTTAGTTCCATGTTAAAATGTTATGGGATGCATTTTCTCCATTATTTTTTTTGGATGGTAGGCCTTCATTATGATCAAATAGCCACAGTAGCATACTTGTTAACTGTAACTTAAGCAGGTACAGCCTCAGAGGTTGGAATATAATTTTTGCTCAAGTTTGCGCTCAGCAGACCAAAAATCTGCTCAGTGCCGGAAAAATATTGGAGGAAACATTGGCTGTAGGCCTACATTATGACAAAATGGACACCTTTCACAACTTGAAATTGATATTATTTGTGCTCACCTTTGATTTGTTCTGTACGGGTAAATACAGTTTGAACTCTGCAGGGAGCTCATCTTCTGAGTACAGTCTGTCAGAGAAATACACTCTCCGGATGCGGCAGTTTGCATGGATCTGGAACAAAAATACAGGCAAGGTATTGCAATGTGCCATTTAATCTTGTCCCAAACATAGCCTAACTGATATTTAAAAGTTTGACATAAGAGATAGCCTGGTCCCAGGTCTGTTTGTGCCGTCTTGCCAACTCCTATGGTCACCAAACTTGGCATGACAATGACCATAAGAGTTGGCAATGCAGCACAAACCTATCTGGGACCAGGCTAGGTAAGAGATCTGTATAATGTATCTTGGACCATGACCCTGGTCCATGAGCCTTTCTGACTGACCTGTACACGGAGTGTCTCGATGTAGTTGGTGCCGTAGGCCCGCCGTGTGAAGTCGGACAGGTTGAACTGGATCTGGTTCCAGCCGTCATCCAGCCTCATGGGCATGGTGCAAATGAAGGGCTTTACCCGCGTGGTGCTCTGGTAGTTACTGGCCCGGAACCTCCTCCTCACATTCTTGTCATCCAACACCTGAGATTGGAAAGGGAGAGCTCAGTCAAACTGATCACTTGTACCCTTTTCACACCACTAAGCCAAACCGAAGCGAGCTGTACTGGACTGGCCTGGTTACGCATCCACCATAATAGCTGGAACCGTACTGTAAATAATAATATAAATAGAACAACCTTTAACCGAGCCAGCGCAGAACGGGTTAGCCCTATAGTGTCAGACATTGTTGTCTATAAGGAATTGCTTTAAAAAAAATTACAATAACGTATAGCTTTCTTTGTATATATATATATATATATATATATATATATATATATATATATATATATATATATATATATATATATATATATATATATATATATATATATACACACAATGGATCTGATTGTTGACTTGGATGATAACCTACCTGGACTTCAAAGGTGAAATACTTCTTCAAGTTCTTTATGATCATAACCAAGAATGGTAGTTTGATGCCAAGTGTCTTCTTTGGGTCTGCCGGACATGTTATGTAGGTTGTGCTGTTGAATTTGAGGACAAATAGTTAGATGTGGTTGCCTGAGGAAGTGACAAAACAGGCTAGTGAACATGGAACAAGCTTACCTGACATTTGTTCCCTCCACTTCAAGCACCAGCGACTGGATGTCATTGTCTGTAATCCGCTTTATGTGGCCGTTCCTGACCTATAACAACATTTTGAAATGGGTAAACTCGCGTGTACTTCTACTTTTAAGAAATGTGTTTTATTGAATGTGAACCCAGGACGATTAGGCAAACCCTGATTAACTAATGGGTATCTAACCTAGCTAATAAACTGACGTTAGTTAGCTAGCTAAGGCTTGATTATGACAGTGGCACGAGGAGTACAATGACAACACAGTAGCTGTCAAATTTGAGCTAAAACCAATCTTACAGCATGAAATGACCTAGTGCTAGCTAGACACAGGACAGTTTATCAGGACCACAAATCAGCTAGCTACTAATAGCTAGCTTCTAGATTTCTACTGCATTGTCATGCGCAAACTGGTTATTTAGCTAGCTATATGGCTAAAGTTAGCTCCTTGCTCTCTGGAGCTTAGCACCATACCAAGCCCTGCAATAGAGCTTTAGCTAACGTTACCTACTGTAGCTAGCCTTGTCAAATTAGCAAACTAGCAAGCAAATTCCTCCGTAAACTTGTGTAAATCGTTGCTTACCTTTTTATCCCATATCTGAAGAGGTTTGCTCCCAATGCTATACAAGATCGATAGGAATCCACTTTGAAATGTGTTTTTGAACATGTTCTGCGCGTTTATAACACCGTCTCATGCGCATGTGTTGTTACTTGTTGCTAACGTTACTTTAGTTTAGCTAATTGATTTAACTTGTGCTTCAACTCCAAGTTCCGTGTGGCACAAAATAATGGTCCTTCGTTCTGCCTCGCAAAACGTCCAAAAAGATACGCGTCTTCTATGAAAAGGAACTTCAGAAAAACCTAAATTTTGCTAAAGTATTGCCGTCCAGCACCACTGTCTGTACCAGTAATATAAACCATGCACTTGCTTGCCGTCTCCCCTTTTGTATTTTTAAGTTGCAATAAAATGTAACGCGGCCCCCTTATCACTGCGGACTTCATTGTTGACGCATATCAGCTACCATGGTAACACAAAGCTTTAGCGGTGCCAGAGACACTTTTGAGGAGATGGGAAACTCAATAGAGGTAGCCTGTAGAGCCCTTTCTGTGTTTGCTAAGAGGACGATGCGCGTAAATTGGTGGCAGAACATGGGGGAGTTCTTATAGAAAGCCAGCAAAAAAAAAGCCTCTATTTACATGTTCTTTATGAGTGCATTTCCACACTACGTTTGGATTATAATTGTATTTTAAGGCTCGTATGAATGTCCTGCTTAATATAATGTTTGTGTCATCATGGCAAATCAACTGCCTTATACTTCAAAAAACACTTTAACTTCAACCAGTAAAATTGCTATTTGGCTAGCTTTTGCTACAGCCTATGTCAATGAGCGTTTGCATTGTAGCAAACAACTCCTGCATCCAAAATAGTTATTTTACAAAGATCACAACCAAATATAATCTTAGCGACTGTTCAGCAAGAATCAAAACATAATTGCAAGCGTATGAGAAAACAAAAAATATATTTTGTTTAGAAGTAATAAAAACGTGAATCTAGGCTATGTTGAATGGGCGCAGATGGCGATGTCTTTCTTACTGCAGCCAAGAGTCGCGCACATCTGTACCTGACGTCAGTGTGTTGTGTACTGGAAAGGGGTCTATAAATTCCCAATGAATTGCCCAATAGAATTCCTATCTCCTCCTATCTCTAATATCTCCGGCATGGCTGTCTGTCGTGAGGGTCTGCAACATTATAACACCATGCCATTGTCTAAAAACATAACTGCAACAGTGTAACACTGTGTCAGTCCCAAAATATTTTTGCAACATCTGAATTAACTCTTCCGTTTCATCAAAGTGCTTATTGTGTTTTTGATTATATATAAAATAAAACAAATAATTTATTCTAATCCCAGATAAAGGTTAAAATTGTTCTAATAACCAAACACACACAAGATGAGGAGGAGATGGAGGAGGAAGAGGATAGAGCCCTATCAGAGCTCCATGATCATCATCATGTTTTGCCAACAAAATAGAGCTCGTGGTTTGGCGGGAAAAGTGGGCTTTTTGGCTAATACATTTTACATGTTTTTTTTAGATTTTAGTCATTTAGCAGACGCTCTTATCCAGAGCGACTTACAGTTTAGTGAATACACTTTTTTTATACTGGCCCCCCGTGGGAATCGACCCCCACAACCCTGGCATTGCAAACGCCATGCTCTATCAACTGAGCTACATCCCTGCCGGCCATTCCCTCCCCTACCCTGGGCCAATTGTGCGCCGCCCATGAGTCTCCCGGTCGCGGCCGGCTGCGACAGAGCCTGGATTCGACCCAGGATCTCTAGTGGCACAGTTAGCACTGCGATGCAGTGCCTTAGACCACTGCGCCACTCAGGAGCAAAAAAAAAAAACGAGGACAGAGTTTATAGCCACGCACAAAAAATAAATGATATATATATATATATATTCTCATGAGATGTGGTAATGTACATTTTGCAGTTTAAAACGAATGGTATGTAAAAGATGAATGAGACTCTGGGTCCAGCCAGCGGCTCTTGACCAGGTGAATCCAGGTGAAAGCTATGATCCCTTATTGATGTCACTTGTTAAATCCACTTCAATCAGTTCAATCAGTGTAGATGAAGAGGAGGTGACAGGTTAAAGAAGCTTTGAGACAATTGAGACATGGATTGTATATGTGTGCCATTCAGAGGGTGAATGGGCAGGACGAAAGATTTAAGTGCCTTTGAAAGGGGTAGTAGGTGCCAGGCGCACCGTTTTGGGTCAAGAACTTCAACGCTGCTGGGTTTTTTACACTCAACAGTTTTCCGTGTGTATCAAGAATGGTTCACCACCCAAAGGACATCCAGCCAACTTGACACAACTGTGGGAAGCATTGGAGTCAACATGGGCCAGCAACCCTGTGGAACACTTTCTACAGTTTGTAGCGTCCATGCCCCGACGAATTGAGGCTGTTCTGAGGGCAAAAATACAGGGGGTGGTGGTGGGGGGTGCAACTCAATACTATGAAGGTGTTCCTAGTGTTTTGTATACTCAGTGTATATTTGCGCTATTCATTACAGAAATATTTTTTCTCAAATTGATAGTGTACACATATTTGTGGGCCATACCAAAACAACAGAATTTGCCAACAGCAACAATATTTTTTATTTTTTTAAATAAACATTTGATTTCAAGCATATCAAATAATTGATTCGAATTATGAAATGTTGATGGATAGCTATTCCATTCTATTGAGGCAGCTAATGAGATAGATAGATATGCTAATGAGATAGATAGATATGTTTGATTCTTCTCTTCTCCAGGAGTCTGGCTTGAGTCTCCTGATGATTTCCATGAGGGAGAACTGCCTCTCTGTATTAGACAGGCTACTGGAGTTAGGAGGCAGCCCTAGTGAAAGGACAAAGGTAACAACTTACTCAAACTGGAAATGGTTACTGATGATGATAGACTGAACCAAGGGCTGCAGTAGGATTGTTTCCTCATGTAAGCATATTATTTGTATATTATATACCGTGACACCGTGACAGGACATAGTAGCAGGATGACTCCCACCCTGCTTCTTTAAAGCAACAATCAGCATTAGAAACAATAACAAAGCCCCTCTCCCCGCCCCTGGTTTGGTAAAAAGCTGAGGGATGGGCCTGGAGAAATTTAACCACTCTCAAATGCATAGACAGAGCTCTGGATACAAGGACTGACTATCCATGATATTAACATTGTAGTTGTATGATTTTGTTTTGAGGCTATCTACTGTTTGTTTACGTTTTGTTTACACATATTGGAGTAAAACAAGCCTATATTATGGGTTCTGAAGGGGTATGACAGTTGAAATAAGCTCATGAGACATTGTAAGTTATTTTCTTCAGGAATCAATGGGTAGATATCATTACTTAATAAGTCAAAAAATGGATGTAGCAACTGCTGATTTCCCCTTTAACATGCAGTTGAAATCTATTTTCAGGCTACATATTAAGAAACAGCTACAGAGATGTAGAGATGCAATACTATCCTCATTCTAACTGGATACAGCAGTAGTTCAGTGGACAAGTGGGTAACGGAGGTAGATGATAGGAATATAATTGGTGGTATTACTATTAGTACTCTACTCTTTCTATGGGCTAGATCAGGGTTGTTCCTGATTTAAAAGGTCATTGGCAGAGGAGTGGACATACTGGTGACGATGACCTTTACAATGGAGACACTCACTTGGCATCTCTCCTGGGTTCTATTCTATTGCGTTTTTCGCACAGCGACTTTGCTTTACCCTCCCTGCAATTCAGAATCAAAACAACATGATGATGAGAATGACGGACTAAATATTTGGCATATATACAATGCTAAACCTTTGGAAAATGTACATTTTTCACACATTTTATTATTGTCGTGGAACAGGGAAAGTACTAGGAACCTCCAAAATGTGTGATATAATCACCGAAACCTCCCTTATTAAATGGATAACACACACCGCCATAATGTGGTGACATAACTAGACAGACTAATCATTTCAGTAGCTGTTTTTTGCCCCACATTCACTATAGAAGTAATTGTCACGTGTACAGCAGCTGTGTTCTAGGCAGTTCAAATCTATGAAATCTTGAGCATTGAAGCAGATTGAGCACAAAAGCAGTTGAACATCTGAAAAACCTCTAGGCTTACTGACAGTGGGAATTGTTCCTTTATTGGGTGAAATTTGAAAGCTTGTTTAGGAAAGTAGTCTGCCCATCCCACGGTGTGACGAGGTGAAATGAAGGAGTCAGGCGCAGGAGGTAAAATACCGAAGTCCAGGGTTTAATGCGTTCACATATATCAAACGTCCCAAGCGTCAAAAGGAACAAGCTCAAGGGAAAACATCCACCTTGGTATAAATACAATGTTGAGTAGCTCAACCGAGCTAACATGCTCTCACAATAAATAATCACTCACAAAGACAAGGGGAACAGAGGAAACACTTATACACATACTAATTAGGGGACTGAGCACCAGGTGTGTGTGATTGACAAGACATGACAAGTGGAGTGATGAGAATGAGATCGGCAGTAGCTAGTACTCCGGTGACGACGAACGCCGGCCCGAACAAGGAGGAGGGGCACCCTCGGTGGACATCGTGACAGTACCCCCCACTTGACGCGCGGCTCCAGCAGTGCGCCGACCCCGGCCTCGGGGACGGCCAGGAGGACGCGGAGCAGGGCGAGTCGGATGGCGACGGTGGAAATCCCTCAACAGGGAGGGATCAAGGATGTCCCGCCTTGGGACCCAGCACCGTTCCTCCGGACCGTACCCCTCCCACTCCACGAGATACTGAAGGCCCCCCACCCGACGCCTCGAATCCAGGATGGAACGGACCGAGTATGCCGGGGCCCCCTCAATGTCCAGAGGAGGTGGAGGCACCTCCCGCACCTCAGACTCCTGGAGCGGACCAGCTGCCACTGGCCTGAGGAGAGACACATGAAATGAGGGGTTAATACGGTAATCAGGGGGGAGTAACAACCTGTATGTCACCTCATTAATTCTCCTCAGGACTTTAAACAGCCCCACAAACCGCGGGCTCAGCTTCCAGCAGGGCAGGCGGAGGGGCAGATTCCGGGTTGAGAACCAGACCCGATCCCCCGGTACGAACACCGGGGCCTCCCTGCGGTGGCGGTCAGCGTTGGCCTTCTGACTACGCACGGCGCGCTGGAGGCGAACATGGGCAGCGTCCCAAGTCTCCTCCGCGCGCTGAAACCAGTCATCCACCGCAGGAGCCTCGGTCTGGCTTTGGTGCCACGGTGCCAGAACCGTTTGGTAACCTAAAACACATTGGAAGGGTGTTAGGTTAGTGGAGGAGTGGCAGAGAGAGTTCTGAGCATATTCTGCCCATGGCAGGAACACCGACCACTCCCCCGGGCCGGTCCTGACAGTAGGTCCGCAGGAACCT